AAAAGAATTTTGAGGAATAGTGTTCTCTCCAACAAATGTCAACATCAAGTTTTATTTTCATTTTTATCGGATACTTTATTTTGATTAAAATACTAATTTTCTATTGGTTGAAATGGGTGGTGGGAATAATCAAATACTTAAACCTTATCTATTCTAATATAAAAGAAAAAGAAGTTTGAGGAATAGTGTTCCCCCCAAGAAATGTCATCATCAAGTTTTATTTTAATTTTTATTGGATACTTTATTTTGATTAAAATACTAATTTTCTATTGGTTGAAATGGGTGGTGGTAATAGTCAAATACTTAAACCTTATTGGTTGAAATGGGTGATGAGAATAGTCAAATAGTTAAACCTTATCTATTCTAATACAAAAGCAAAAGAAGGTTGAGGAATAGTGTCCCCCAAGAAATGTTAGCATCAAGTTTTATTTTAATTTTTATTGGATACTTTATTTTGATTAAAATATTAATTTTTTATTGGTTGAAATGGGTGGTGGGAATGGTCAAATACTTGAACCTTATTAGTTGAAATAGCTGGTGGGAATAGTCAAATACTTAAACCTTATTGGTTGAAATGGTGGTGGGAATAGTCAAATACTTAAACCTTATCTATTCTAATATAAAAGCAAAAGAAGTTTGAGGAATAGTGTTCTCTCCAATAAATGTCAACATCAAGTTTTATTTTAATTTTTATTGGATACTTTATTTTGATTAAAATACTAATTTTCTATTGTTTGAAATGGGTGGTGAGAATAGTCAAATACTTAAACCTTATTGGTTTAAATGGGTGGTGGGAATAGTCAAATACTTAAACCTTATTGGTTGAAATGAGTGGTGGGCATAATGAAGCTTATTGATTGTTTCCAAATTCCTAAAAGATTGCAATGGACTTTCAGCTATAAAAGTAATGTGGATGTAAGAAGGATTTCACATTCATTTATTCCCATATCAATAAATATATATTATTGCTCAAGTTGGTAGTATTATTTTGTAACAATTGATTTCACCAAAAATTGGTTGAAAAAAAACATATCGTAATTTTTTAATTGTAGGTTGAACAAAAAGAAATAATTCAAAAGACATTGATGGAAGGGATATTTTTTAAATAAAGTGTTGTATTTATTAGAGTTGTGCTATTTAAATAAAAAAGGCCGTCTTAAAATTATCAAATTCATAGAAGTCTATGTGTTTGGTATGTGTTACATCGATGTTGTCTGTTGATATACCGGGTCGAGAAGGACTGGAGTGGAGATTGGATGTTGGGGACAAATAATGGGTAGGCGATAACTGTTTGGAATTCGTTTATGGCGATTCGGGTTTCGGGTTGTTCAACCTCATGAATGAGTTCATCGGTCTCCCAACAGTTTGAAATATTTAAAGGTAGGTGGTGTAGTTGTATTTAATGAGATTGGGTTACTATTAATGGCACATGACATGTTTGTTCGCACGTGTGTGTACAAGTGTACAATTTTTAAAATTGGTGGAAGTGTTGTGTTTAAAGTGTCTTTAAAAAAATTTAAAAAATGTTTTAAGTGTGTTTTGTTAAAAATGTAAACAAACATCTTCCATATTTTTTGGAGAATGAAAAATGATAAACATAATTTTAGGATGCTTATTTCTTAAAAAATTATCCATCGAAAATTATCAACATAAACTGGAAATGAAAAAGATTTTTAACTATAAACGTATGGAGTCCAGATTTGTAGAGTTTCGATGATGTGCTTCACATAAAGTCGGTTTTAGGATGCTTATTTGTTAAAAAATGTGTATTTGACGATCGATTTATAAAAAAATGAGATTAATCTTTTATTAAAAAATTATCAGAACAAATCTAGAAATGAAAATCGATTAGAAACATGAACACGGATCTTCGAGATCTGTGGGCTTTGGACGATGTTGTTCATATAAAATCGGTTTGTCGTTGCTTATTCGTGATAAACGTCAAAGCGAGATGTGGTTTGTGAGGTGGCTGGATTTAGATCTTACCCCTGACATGTAAATCTAGGCGGAAGAATGAAACGTTTACGGATCCATGGCCATGGAACTTCCAGATCTGTAAAGTTTGTGTGTTGTAGTTATAAAAAAAAGTTTTAGTTTGGTTATTCTTGGAAAACATGAAATCGACGAAGGCTTGCATGTAGAAGAAGGAAAATGAACTTACCGTGCAGTCTGACTAAATGCGCAGATTGACGCCGTATTGTGTCAATGTTCGCTCGGTTGTGGCTTCACGGTGGGATAAGGGATGAGAACATGGCGATGATGTTCGGCGACCACTTCATTTTTCCAGTCGATTGGATAAACTGCGGTTGAGCGTCATGGTCGGAGTTTAGAGAGAGGGAAGGTCGATCTGGCTAGATGTCGGTGAAGAAAGGGGAGGGTTTATGGGAGGGATCATTTTCAGAGTCGTTATAAACGCACTTACATCGGGAGGGGTTTACATGCATGGATTATTGGGCTACTTCTGCGGCCCGTTTAGTTGCTGAACACGGAAAACACATAGGCTGCTCTGGATCGGCCCGTACAAATAGCTTAAGGTTTCTTCAGTTTAGATGAATGCCCAAATTTGGACATTTAAGTTAATACGTATGAAGGAGTACTCCCTCCGTATTTTAAAGCTTGCTACACTTTCCTATTTGGGATGTATTTTTTTATAAAAAATAGAAAAAAATATGAATATAAAATCTATATTTTATTCGCTCTTTTCTAATTATTCGTATATTCTACTTTTTAAGAATTTTGCATTGTAATTCTATATGATGTAGGTTTTCATGTATTTTATTTATTTGAAAATGGATTTAGTATTTATCAATTTTGACATTATTTTTAGCATTTTTTATACTTTTATTTATATTTTTTGAAAATGCATATGTGCTTTTATAAAAAAAAAACAATTATGTGAAGTTATTTAGAAAACTAACCATCATAGTGGCTCAAAATGCCTTGATTGAATGTGTTTTAAAAGTAAATGAACTTAATGACACCATTACTTTTTTCGTATATGGTCAACACACATGTGTGAAATAATATAAGGATATCTTTAAACACTCCCCACAAATTTATATTCAAGTATAGTTTAAAAATAAAATAACACACTTTTACATTATTGCACACCCCCTATTTTGCATGTTTACCCGGACAATCATTTAGAAAATGAAAAAAATATTTGCTAAATCATTTGTGCATTGTGAGGGTGAATTTACTAGAAAGAAGAATTTTAATTTTAACACGAGTTAGTGCGGGACAGAAGGTGTTAATTTCGAAGCATTTCTTAACACCTTAAGACGTTAGCCACTGCAATTCCGGATACTAGAATACCTAAACATGACTTATTGTGTCATGAATGTAAATAAAATCAAAAATAGTTGGTGTCCCGTGTTGCATGGTTTGTTGTTGAAAACACTTGTTAGTAGTTATTGTCAATTTTACGTGGTTGTGTCAGGAGCAATCAATCCATCGAGCGTTAAACAATCACATTGCATACAATGACCGTGGAACAAAAATTGAAACAGAGAGTATTGTGGGTCTATAAAATGTGTGAACTACTCAGTAATCATTGATAGATCATTCTGAATATGTTTCATTTTTACGTCAAACTTTATAATTGTACAGACAACAATTGTAAATGATTCAAGTAAAATTAGAAGTTTTTTAACTTTAAATTTGATTAAAATTAATTGCATCGTGAAAATTTTCAAACCGTGCATCGCACGAGTGCTCTACTAGGATCGAATAGAGTCGGTTAAGGCCCGATTGGCCCAGACGCCCAATACAATCGGGCTGAACCGTGCATTGCACAGGTTCGGTCTAGGATCGAATAAAGCAAGTTAAGGCCCGATTGAAGAATTATCATATTTGAGTATTGTTAAAATAATGTCATAACACACTTTCACATATTTGCACACCCCCTGATTTGCCAATTTATCCGGGCAATTCATGTAAAAAATACAATTCGTATAAATGCATAGTCACCATATTACTTGAGATGTGTATAGTTAGACTTATTTCAGTCTCAAACCAAACCAAACTTAAACAAACCAGACCAGACCATACTTTGATATTAGAAATAAGAGAAACACCTATTTGAACATTTTCCCACAAATTTAGATACAAGTATAATTCAAGAATGACATAACACACTTTCACATATTTTACTCCCTTATTTTACCTATTTAGAGAGACAATTCGTCTAAAAAATTCGTGTGAATTTAAAAATTCTATTTGATGATGAAGATGAAGGAACCATTGACAAAATGACAAGACTCGGAATGTTGTATTCAAAGAAGTGTTCAACAATGTTTAAGTTTACTTTAAATGCATATTTACAATGTCATGGTTTCAACGTATTTGTTGGATGATTTTGATCTTTTAAGTAATGTTTAGTACTCTCATTTTGACCATAATATTATAAGTGTGTTTCGTTTAATGCTTTTATGTATATCAGTATTACATGAAGATAGATGATGTCATCAATTGATAGTGTGATTTGAATCACTAAGTACACATAAATTTGAAAGAAAATTTTTCAGACCGTGCATCGCACGGGTGAGTTTACTAGTCTTTTGTAATGGAACGGCCGCTAGGATTATAGTTGCACATAGAATAAATTAAGAGAGGTCTAATTTATTCTAGGACACTTTCACACACATTTAATCGTTCTCTAAAAGATTAGTAACGATTAGGGAGCTGTACGCTCGCTCGTCTTGGCAATAATTTATGAACTTGTCACATGAGAGATCAGCTTGGTTCCTTGAATTATTGTACTCTATGTCGCGAGAGCAGTAAGAACTTAGTAGTGACCAGCGTTGCTCAATCAAATAATTTTCATGTGATTAAGCTCAGGGGCAGAGCCAGACTTTAGGGTAAGGGGGGTCAAAAAATTTTTATATAAATATATACTAATATATATCTATTTATTAATTTGGGGGAGGGGGGCAAAAAAAAAATTACGGTAAAATTAATAAAAAAATTAAAAATGGGGGGGGGGGGGGGGGGGGGGAATGGCCCCCTTAGGATTACATGTAGCTCCGTCCCTGATTAAGTTTGATCAACCCTGAAATCTGATTACCTCGAAATTAATCATTGTTCCCTTTCATCAATAATTAGAAAGAGCCATTTAGATTAATTTCTTTTTCGCATTAATTTAATTTTCAAAAAAACAATCTCGCACATCACATTTTATTTATTTATTTTTAATCGCTAAATTTATTTAATTCTTAATTCCCTTTTTATGTCCCTATGGAGACGATACTCGTACTTGTACCTTATACTCCTACACATATTTTTAATGCGAGACAATTCACATCATCTCTCATACTCTCATTCATTCATCAATAACAGCATTCAAACTTTAGTCACAAAAGATTTTGGGATCGACTAACATGAATCGATACATAATATCAGAGTCAAAAGAGAAAGAAAGATAAAAAGATAATCATTTTCATTTTCATTTACGCCAGTGCCGCAAAGGCTCCACCTATGATGGGGTAAGGGGGGTCGGATGTACGCAGTCTTACCCCTATATAGAGATGGACCCGGTCCGGTCCGGTTCCGGTTCCGGGCCGGGCCCGAGCGGGCTTTTTTTGCAAATTCATGGGCCCGGAACCGGCCCGGGTTGATACCGGGTCCGGGCCTAACCGGGTCGGGCCCGGTTCGATGTCTATTTTTTTTTTTTTTGCTTTCTTGTTATCCCCCGACCCCCCCCCCCCCCCCTCACCCCCACCCCCAAACCTCCCCAAAACACCCAGCCCTAGTCTAGGAAAAGAAAAAAAATTGAAAAAAAAAGACCCGGGCCCGGCCCGAACCGCCCGGGCCGATTCGCCCAAAACTAGGCCCGAGCCCGGACCGGCCGACCCGCCCAAACGGGCTAAAAGCCCGGAACCGGCCGACCGGTCCCGGTCCGGTCCGAGCCCAAATAGTACAGGGCCGGTTCGACCCGGCCCAGTCCAGTCCATCCCTACCCCTGTACTAAAGCAGGGAGCGACTGTTTCCGGATGATCCGAAGTGAAAATCACGTCCAAAATTGCATTGACTGACTGTTGCTCCATAACAAAGAAACACAGACAGTTTAGTGAGCTATTTTGCTTTATTCCATCTTAATCTCAAGCCAAAAAATAATGAATCTTTGGTTCCATTGCAATTTGCAAATGATGGAAAATAAAGAAAAAAAGTGTTAGGATAAAAATGATAAAAGAAATACACACACATAGTAAAAAAGATAAAGAGATTAAAAAACACATCTATTAATATATAAAAGCAAAAGAATTTTATGAATAGGACTCCCGCTCAAAAATGTCAACATCGATGACTCTTCAAATAATTTTTTAAGATAAATGAAAATCAAGTCAAAATAATTTTTGCCCAATAGGCCAATGCAAAGGAAAATGTTCCCATTGGTTGAATTGAGAGGTGGTTACTATTCAAACTATTCAGTTGGTAGCCATATACATTTTCCGAAATTTTGCTATTGGTCCAAATGGGAGGTGGTTACTGTTGAAACTATTCAGTTGGTAGCCATATACGTTTTCCAGAATTTTGCTTGGTCCAAATGGGAGGTGGTTACTGTTGAAACAGTGTTCCCCATTAAATTGTTGTGTCAATTGGTTGAATCAAGAGGTGTAACTGTTGGTGCAACTGTTGAGCTAGGATCAAAATACGTAAATGAGATTGTGTATATCTCATTGGTTGAAAATTGATGTTGACATGTTTGATTACTTTGCTCTTATTGATGGAATTGGGTGGTGTGTACAGTAAATGAGATTGTGTATATCTTATTCCCTGAGTACTATCATAAAGTTTGACTATAAAAGCAACACTTCCGCATTACATTTCTCAGATTCACTCGGACATCAAGCTAACATAACAAAAAAAAGCAATATATTTCTTTCATTATGATTGAGATGTAGTCTATGATTCATGAGATTGATCAAAGAGTTGTTGGGCAATCCAAGTTAAAGCTACAAGGACCAAGGTACAAGCTTGCTCATGATTGTGCATGATGAGGATTGGGGAGATTGTAAATGTATTAAGTTTTTTTATCCTCAAAGTAAATGTATTAAGTTGTTAATTACAATTCTATTTTTTTGTTTCATATAAAATTATTGTCAAACTGTTCAAAAATCTATAGAGCTTAAGAACATTGTGATCGTCACTTTACATGGTACATTCACAAAAAAGTGGATTATTAAGAAAGGTGGGTTTGTGTGGTTAATATTTAATTGATAAAGTAAGAATAGTTTAGAGCCACACAATCTTTACCAAATTTATTATGGAACAATCTTAGTGGGACTTTCCGAAAAGGTAAAATGGGACAATCTTAGCGGGATGGAGGAGTATCATATTAATGTTCTTGAAATATGTGTTGATTTGAAAATGTTCAGGTTAGATTATCATACAAATAAGTATGTGTAACTAGATATTTTAATGGGTAACAACATCAAAAAAATAAAACATCAAAAATCTGAATGATAGATGTGGGAACGTACCTCAAATCTGGGCTGGCACAACGCATGTCATAAATCTACCCTAATCTATTTTTTACAAGATTTACGAAATCAAACTCGAATTGATACAACCAAATACTCTGTATTACATATTCAGAAGTAAAAAAAACATACAAAAAATATCATCAGAATCCCTGCACATTTTAAAGTTTGCATTTGTGTTAGGATCTTTAAATTTGTAACTATCATATACGCAGTAATAATTAAATCTGCATTAGAAATCATCAAAATGCAAATGATTGTGTGCTGCAAATATTGGTAAACAATTAGTGTCATGAATACAGTTTAATTAAAATATCAATTCAGGCAAAATCAGAAATTTTAAGTTTGAGATGCAATGTTTGTTATCAGATTATATACCAAATTATATAATCTGGTATCACCCCCCTGATTTCCTGCCATGTCAAGGGCAATGTGTTCCACTTGGGCAGTTCTTATTTGTTTTCATAATAATAAAAATATTTGTGGCATGACAAGGTCTATTATTTTCACACTCGCAGATCTAATAATAGATAATTCTCAATAATCGAATTCAATTCTGGAAACCATAGCATTATCTAAATAATACATACTTGAAAACTTTGAACACCGGTGCTGCTTCTTTACTTAAAATGCAGTGATGAAGTCATCAATAGGAAAAATATATGCAATTTATAAAGAGTAGTCGACCACTTTTGATCAAAGGAAGGGTTAGTTTTCCTATGCCTGATACTGAAATACATTTTCTATGTTGCTTGAAATTATTCAATCTAGGGAATCCAACAAGTTCAATTTAGTCTTGGTATTTCTCATCACCAAACTAAATTTCATGTATACAAACTGAGAAATGTACAAAAAATCGCTTCATCTTAAAATTTGGATAAATTGCTTAACGATGATTCGCATGATTCTATTTGAAATAAAATAATTTTTTTAAGGGAAATGTTGAGATGTTATAAATCCGAGTGATATGAAGCATATTTTGTAAAAAAGATATTTTGTAAAGACAGTTCAGAGAGTATGGGCTTAGCGTGTTAGGGTAGATTTTCTCAGGTCAATAGTGCAGTTGAAAAACATCCACATGAGCATTGAAAATGTAAATAATTAGTCTGACCTCGTGCAGGCGACTTAAAATGAATGGGCTTGGTTACTTTTTATGATAAAAACAGTGTTTTAGATATGTAATTGTATGGAGTTTGATCTCAGTGGGTGTAATGAATACTTTTTGCGGTTCATTTGCTGCAAAAAATGGCTGTCATTGATGAACAAGTTCAAATCAGTTTGTAAAGAGTAGAGAGAGCCTCACATTTCCTTATCTAATATAATATATATATACCTCATTGAGAGCTGCCCAACATAGAGCATAACTCCAGCTCTTCTTGAGTTCCATGCTTTTTTGGCTCCAAATTTAACAGTAAATCCCTTCAAGTTTAAAAATTTAAATCTGCATTAGAAATCATCAAAATGCAAATCATTGTGTGATGCAAATATTGGTAAATGAACAACTGTGAACAATTAAAGTCATGAATACAGTTTAATTACAATATAAATTCAGGCAAAACCAGAAATTTTAAAAATGCATTGTTTGTTATCAGATTATATACCAAATTATATAATCTGATATCCCCCCCCCCCCCCCCCGATTTCCTGCCATGTCAAGGGCAATGTATTTCACTTGGGCAGTTCTTCTTATTTGTTTTCATAGTAATACAAATATTTGTGGCATGACAAGGTCTATTATTTTCACACTGACAGATATAATAATAGATAATTCTCAATAATCGAAGTCAATTATGGAAACCATAACATTATCTAAATAATACATACTCGAAAACTTTGAACACCGATACTGCTTCTTTAGTTAAAATGCAGTAATGAAGTCATAAATAGGAAAAATATGTGCAATTTATAAAGAGTAGTCAACCACTCTTAATCAAAGGAAGGGTTAGTTTTCCTATGCCTGATATTGAAATGCATTTTCTATGTTACTTGAAATTATTCAATTCATGGAATCCAACAAGTTCAATTTAGTCTTGTTATTTCTCATCACCAAACTAAATTTCATGTATACAAACTGGGAAATGTACAAAAAATCACTTCACATTAAAATTTGGATAAATTGCTTAACGATGATTCGCATGATGCTATTTGAAATAAAATAATTTTTTAAGGGAAATGCTGAGATGTTAATTACAAAATTTTTATATCTGTGATTTTTGATATTTTTCTCAAAATCTTATATTTTGTAAAAATCATTTTTGGATCCATTAGAAGGGGAAATTTCATCTCAAACTTTTTTCCGTGATGTTAACATTGCATCAGTAGATTGGAGTTATTTTAGTGTAATAAATTACAGTATCCGGAAGAAAAAGTCACACCTTTCCATGAACGTTTTAACAAATGCGAAAAAAAAAATCGGACTTCACCTTCGGATCTTACGGATCTGTTAGGTTTGATCCTTTTTTTATTATTGACCGGTAGATTGATGAAGGTTTTTGTTCCATGTTATAGAATATCGTGCATGGTGACCGGTGGATCTACCAAAATAACGACACTAATGGAAATGAAATAAAAATGTCATGGAAAATCTACTCTCTTACAAATCTGTATGTTTCGTGTTTTTCTTCGGTTAAAAATTTTTGAGGTCGTTTGCGTATAAAAGAGAAAGGAGTAGAAGAAGAGGTGAGTTGTTTGTGCATGTAAGTGTTTGTGTTTGGGTTCGGTTTGAGAAGAAGAAACTTACCGGTGATAGATTGACCTTGAACGGTGGAAGATCTTCTATTGTTTGTTGTGGCCGGAGCTCGATTTGCACCTTCTGAGCTTATCTGCGGCAATATTTCCGGCGGTATGTGTGCTGCGTTAGAGAGAGAGGGTGAGATATGAGTGTCGGTGAGATTTTCAGGAGGGTTAGGGGGAATGACGACCTGGCGTAGTATATTCGTTTAGGTTCGTTCTTTTAGTGGGCCTGCCCAAGCATGGTTTTGAATTGTTTTCCGGGTCATGTTTAAGTGGGCCGTGTGTGTTGTGTATGATTATAACAGTTCTGTTTTCTAATGTCTATGATAAATTTTAATTTTTTTATCATAAATATATTATATGTGTTTAACAAAAAAATTATCAACAAAAAATAGATCATAGGTTTCGAGAGTCCTAATTTCTGAATTTGTTGTAGGTTATGAAGACTGGATAGTAATTTTGCATTTGGTGACGTCTTTATGGTGTAGATTTTCTTTGGACTAAACGCGTAATGTATAGCGTCGTATGATTAATAACTGTAAAACCAAGATTATTATTCCAATAGTAAGTGGTCTTTCATTTTAGTAAATATACTATATTTGAGACCATTGTTAAATCTAAGTAATAAATAAATTAGTTGAACATTTTCCAAAATGTTCTAGATGTGGTTTTTTTTTTCCTTTGGGGATTATTTTTATTTTGTGATTAATTTTTTTATTAGAAGTTATAGGTTTTATTTGAATTCATTTTGAATATACATTTTCGCTGCATTGTTATTTTGTAATTTGATTTGGCATTCACTTTACAATATGATTGTTTCCAAATTCTTAAACGATTGCAATGGACTTTCGGCTATAAAAGCAATGTGGATGCAAGAAGGTTTTCACATTCATTCATTCTCATATCAAAGCTCTAATTGTACAATACACAAGTGTTAATATTTATTTCTCTCTATGTTCCAGAATCGAGTGCAGCAGAAATTCCTTATCTAACTTAGCATAAATATTTGGGAGACTGAAGTTAAAATACGTAGTATCAGATAACCCAACTATTTATGGTGATATATAGGAGGAGGACGAGTTCAGTCTCTTGAAGCGAGAGTTTTCTTGAAGCGAAAAGGTGAATATATTCTTATTTTCTAGATGTATTAAGTTATTTCAAACCTCACAATTAGTAGGTATGTGAATTAACACTCTATTTCTTTAATTCGCAACAGGTGGATTTAATAAGCTCTTTGTTGAAATGTTGAATAAAAAAATAGAACTGTGTTGGAAGTTGATGCAGAAAGAGTGAAGATAGATCTGTTTGGAGAAGGTGTTAATTTCGAAGCATTTCTTAACACCTTAAAACGTTAGCCATTGCAATTCCGGATACTAGAATACCTAAACATGACTCATTGTGTCATGAATGTAAATAAAATCAATTCCGGGTTAGGTCTAGGATCGAATAGAGTCGGTTAAAGCCTGATTGAAGAATTATCATATTTCAGTATTGTTTAATAATGCATAACACACTTTCACATGTTTGCACACCCCCTGATTTGCCAATTTACCCGGTCAATTCGTGTAAAGAATGCAATTCGTATAAATGCATAGTCACCATATTACTTGAGAAGTTTATACTTAGACTTATTTCAGTCTCAAACCAAACCAAACTTAAACAAACCATACCAGACCATACTTAGATATTAGAAATAGTAGAAGCACCTATTTGAAATTTTCCCACAAATTTAGATTCAAGTATAATTCAAGAATGACATAACACACTTTCGCCTAAAAAATGCAATTAGTGTAAATTTAAAAATTCTAATTGTTGATGAAGATGAATGAACCACTGACAAGACTCAGAATGTTGTATTTAAAGAAGTGTTCAGCAATGTTTAGATTTACATTAAATGCATATTTACAATGTGATGGTTTCAACTTATTTATTGGATGTTTTTGATCTTTTAAGTAATGCTTAGTACTCTCATTTTGACCATAATATTATAAGTGTGTTTCGTTTAATGCTTTGATGAGTATTACATGAAGATAGATGATGTCATCCATTGCGATTTGAATCACTAAGCACACATAAATTTGAAAGAAAAATTCTCAGATCATGCATCGCACGGGTGAGTTTACTAGTAACTAAGAAAAAGAAGATACAGAAGAAGAAGAAGAAGACAATAGATCAACCCGCCACATGAATACTCTGTCATCCACTTTGTTCTCTCCAAAGCCATACACTCATTTAACCCAACACGAAACATATCACAGCTGACCCCTCTAAACAGAGCCAAAATTTGGAACAACACTAAACATAATCCTTGATTAGCACATGGTTAGTCCCTACGTTAGCCGCACACATAATGAGGTGTGAAATGCATGAATTGTACCTTAAATATTGGTATCGTTGCATTTTAGTATCTTAACTTTTAAATGAATCAAATCAGTATCATAACTATACATGAATGTTCCAACTTGTAATTTTATTCAAATTTTTGGCAAAAAATCCTACATGGTGATCAAAATTCCATGTGTAGTCACCCTACATTGATGAAATTGACAAAAGGACGGTGAAGTGGATTTTAGGCACGGAATTCCGGTCACCGTGTATGATTTTTTGGTCAGAAATTTGAGTAAAATGGCAAGTTGAAACATTTATGTATAGTTATGATACCGACTTTATTCATTAAAGAGTTGAGGTACCAGAACGTTGAACGCAACAATATCAATAGTTAAGGTACCATTCATACATTTCACCCCAGAATGAGAGATTGTTTTCAACTTTTCATGGTGATTGTAAGTAAACATTTATTTATTATTGAAGTATGTTTTAGTCTCTTTACAAACCAACCAGTCCTTCGGACATCAGCATTAAAGTAGCCAACAAGATGGCATGTGAAGAGGGGAAATGCAGCCGTACATAATTACATGGCAGGAAACGGGTGTAAAAAGATATACAATTATGGCTCCCACTGGAGTGGTATGAAAAAAAACTGCATTATATTGCAGCACAAAAAACTGTAGTTGACTTTTGTTCACCTTGGAATCCATTGGAATGGTGACTCGAGTACAAGTAATAGCAAGTGCACATCACACTACTACTGAGTTTCTGGAATAGGTGGCAATGCCATTAGCTCCTGTTAGAAAAAGACAACGCGATTAGCATATAGCTTGTTCAGATGACGATTAAAAAACATAATCAAACCTCATAATTTGTTTGGAGTACCAAGATAGCCTAGATAGAAGTGTTGGTGCACATGTTAGGCTTCAAGTGTGTTCGTACCTTTTAAAACATGGATGTTCTGTCCTAAAATATTAACCTGGTAGAAAAAGTAACTGAAGTCTTATATGTTAATTTGTGTGTTTATATATGTTTATATCATATCAATGTCAATGTGAGGTGCCTTAACATTCGATGTGTTACTATCTTCGGCAAATTAATTGGCAAAACTAGCCAACCTAGGGTTCTTTTAAAAGGGGGCATGTGAAAGCAACATGCCAAGAACTAGCCAGGACTTTTTTTGCATTAGTATACATTGTTGACTAATTTTAGACCATTAGTAACGGTGTAGGAGCGAGACGTCAGGGGTTTAAGTCCTGGGAGCGGCCTCTTGTCAAAATGACAACGGAAGGCTAGCCCATTATACACCCTTGTAGTTGGACCCTCGCCTTGCCGGGCTGCCCTTTCTAATAATTGATACACATATAACTGGAATTATGGGGATGTTGATGAATTGATGATGGGAACAACTCCCGACAAAAGTGTTTACCAGAGAGTATCGCAAATGCTGGTGGTGCCCCTTTGTTGTTTTAACCATTGTTTCCCATTTTGAATCTCCTGAAGTGACCTTGGGTGCCACATTCCGAGGATTCCCGTTTCCAATAAGATAGGTCCGCTGTAGTGATGAACGCTTTGTTGAGAGTGAAGGCAAAGTGCGACAAAGCCATGACTCTGATGGAGACATGGGTAAAGGTGGTGGTATTGGGAACTCTACTGACTTCTTCAATCTCTCTGTTCCCTCAATGTAACTTTCATCCGCTCGACTGTTAGGCATCACTGATGTGTTTGTGAAGAATTGGTCTTTTCCATAAGCCTGAATCGGTCTTCTTCTAGATTCAGAGTTCAATTTATCAGCTGAAAGTAGCGGTTTGAGATCAGCAGTTTCGTGGACAATGTGCTTTATATCGGTTCCTTCATCTGTGCTAGCTTCTATGAAAGGAAAAGCTTCCATTTTATTCTGTTTTCCCTTAGGCTTCATAAGTTCATGGTCCTCTTTAATAAACTGTGCTCCCTTTGTCTCTTGCAGAGTATCTACTACATAAAGAGTTTTCTCTACAATTGCACAACTGTCAGAATCTTCTGGTGCTACAATATTACTCTTATCCATCAAGGACTCCACAGAATTTTTGCATTTTCGTTTATCCAGCCCAATGAAATGACGTCCATCAACATTTTTATCATTAATGTTTTGGGTAATTCTCTTTTTGAATTCATCATCTGATTCATTATTGTCTTCATGAGATTCTGCTGTTAGAAATCCAATAACTGGCTGACGCTCGCTTACATCAGATGCTGATCGCTGCAACATTTACAACAACATACATCATCTCGATCAGAGTGAAAATTTAAAAGATTATGTTAAGGCCTTGTACAGTTGGGAGGTTTTATAGGGAGGTATATTTATTTTGTTCATATATTTTTACATTCAGATAGCTGGAAAGAAAGTGAAAATTATATAGATATATGCATGATATTGTTGTTATGTAGTTTAAGACTAACAAATAGGAAGAAAGGTAAAGTGATAAATAAAAAAGAAAAAAAGAAATAGTTGATACCTCATTCTCTGTTCCACTACAAGATCCAGCAGATGAGGATCCAGTCTGCATTCTACTGCTGCTAGGAGACATAGGGACTCGAGTCCTTGCACTCATACCGGGTAGCGGATTCATTAGAAAAAATGAACCTTTCAAACAAAAACGGGGTATTAAACCACATGCTTTAGGAGGTAAATATCCATCATTATCATGACCATCTTCGTCATCATTGTCATTTATTACTTCTGCGTAATCATGAGATTGGTAATAGTGGCGTGCAAAACTGGGCCCATAACGCAGTTGAGGTCGCTGCCTATCTGCATTTACTGTGTTGACTGGATGATTTCTTGGTTGTTCCAGAACGACAGATTGCTTCCTGGGAGCATGTGAAGGCATTTCTGTAGCCATTGAGATGGCTGCAGGCAGAAACCGATCAATCATGAAATCTCGAGTTTGGAGATCTGCCGTGAAGGTCCCGTTTGGTTCATTCAATCCACTAAAGCCATTAGCAGTACTATGATTCAGGAAAGCTGATTCAGGTTTGCTTGATATCGTGTCAAGGGCATCTACGTAAGTTTCATCTTCATCAGATGATGATTCCACTCTCTCTTCTTCTTTTTCTTCTTCATCTTCAATGCTACCATTTGAACTGCTAAAACTAATTGGTTTCACCATCTTTTTTCTCAATGACTCATGTTGAGAAATGTTTTCCATTTCAGAACCTTTACTATTAAGGCGTTGTTGCTGGTCTGCTTTTGAAGTTCTGCCTGGGGGGAGTTTTGGAATAATGGGAGGAGACGCCTTACCAACAGAGACAGCAGATGTATGATGAGTTTCGTGTTTTGGTCTTCCAGGGCTGTGCTCCCAGCGGAAGGGCACAACTCCCGGATCCCTCAAAGGTCCCGAGTTTAGTTTCGATTTGTATGGAGGGCGAGGGCGAGGGGGAGTGGAAGTGTCAGTTGGCCTATCGGTTCGTCTTACAGAGAGAAAAGGTTGGTTTAGGTTTAGCCTCTTGTCTTCCATTACAGTGTTCATCAGTCTATGTTATTCCTGTACACAACAAAATCATCAAATAAAGATACACATTGTTCTCTATTCTAAACATCCCTAAACAGTCCATCTAGACATTCCAAACCCCCTTGACCGTCCGTTGTTTTCTTTTATACTCCGCAATTGATTTCGTCTTGACCCTCTTCCCCAAACCCCGCATTGGCGCTTGGCTCCACTACCTTTTTAGGAAATACTCCCTCCGTTCCTAAATAAACTTCCAACTTTCCTTTTTCATCCGTTCCAATTAAAACTTCAACTTTCCCTTTTTAGTAAAGAATTTGTGGTTCACAACATTTCTTACACATTTCTCTCTCCTCTGCATAACTCTCCACCACACAATAACCACTATCTTAAACTCTGTGCCAAACCTATTTGGAAGTTTTAATAGGAACGGAGGTAGTAACACTTTTTAGAAACCTGACATTGTTAGAGCTTGTAAGTTCCACCTCCGTTTAGGGGGTGGACATGGTCCAGGAGACTAAACCAACAGACCGAGCCATGTTTACTGTTCTGATTCCTCGAAAGTAAGACACGGATGGGACCAGACCTTTTGTTTTAAAAATAGGCTAACATACTGATCTAGAACCAGATGGAAGTATGGAACCCGATGATGGTTACATTGTCAACCTTACCATAACATTGAACTAGACTATCCAAAAGAAGAGTCACACTTCCAAAATTAATTAACAAACATGGCCTTCTTTCAAATGTAGAGTGTAGTTTTTATTTTTTAACCAATGTTCTACAAGGCGTCATAAGGCGGTAGGAGAATGACCCGTATAGTAAATAGGTGTGGAAAAGGTGGCCGACTCCGAAGAGCTGACTATAAAAGTTGTGAAAAAGTGTAGCTACAAAAGGTGGAGTCTGTGTGTGAAAAGATTAAAAAAAATAGATAGATAATGTGTTGCAAAAGAAAAAAATGGATATATTATATTCTAGAAAATCACTTCCCCTAAATAAGTTAGTAGAGCTTGTTTGGTAATACTGAAATCAGTTGAATCGGTTGATTCTGCTGAAATTTATGATGAACCCATTTAGTAACACTAAAATTGGCTGAATTGGCTGATTCTGCTGAAATTTATGAAGTTCTGGCTGAAGTGTTTGTATTGGCTGATTCTGCTGATTCATGAAAAAATTATATTTAAAATAGTTGTTATTAATAAATTAAATAAAAAATTATATGAAAAAAATATTTAAAATGATCCTCTACGGTAACTTCAGTCAGAACAGACAGAAAAGTAACTTCAACCTTACTTTTTCTACTTATTACAAACTTCAGCGCGCGAAATAAAAAATTACGTGTTTGATGAAAAAGATGGCCAATAAGTCAATAAGTCTTATAAGCCGAAAAAAAAGGGGTAACCAACCGGGCTCGAAGTTCTGGATGAAGTGGCTTTATTGGGTGATTATGCTTATTTATGAAAAAATTAAATTAAAATATATTTTATTAATAAAATATAGACTTATTGTGTGATGTTATGTGATTTGGATACTTATGTGATTAATTTTCCAATACTTTATATATCCATATTCACATGTCAAGTATACCCCTCAATTGAACACACAATAATAATAGTGATAATAATATTATAATAATAATGCCAATAATATTAAAAATAATAACAACAAAAATACTACTCCGTAATAACAATAATAATACTCAAAAAATAAAAGAAGTAATAGCACACTCAGAAAAAATATGGAGTAGTAATCATAATAAGCACGAAGACGGAATGATTAGGTGCTAATTAATTTATGCGGCCATTATTGATTACTGTACGTAAAAAGGGAATAAGATCTAATGATCTATTTCTCTCTCTTACTGTTTCATTATCTATTGACAAATACCTAGCATGTAAATGAGTAAATTCAAAGAAAAGTCAAGAATCGAAAATATCCTAGTGGCCTCACTGCCAAATTCACTTCGTCGGTGCCACTCGGCGGCAGCAATTAGCTGTCTGAAAAGGAAATTGACTTGTGTATGATTGCCTTTCTTTTGTTCTCCAAAAAGCGTTGAAAAAGCCCTCTATTCGATCTATCTCCTTCCTCCCCTTTCAATGGAAGTCAGAGAGGAGCACCGAGAAAATCCTCAGCGCGTGAATATAACACTCTCACTGCCCTACTGTAAGGAGTAGAATAATAAGAAGTGCTGTGGATCGCCGGACGGCCGCAATTACAGCCGTCGGCAGATAAGTCGACGCCCGTTCCCACCGCGCATGTATACCGAAGACAGAAAGACAGTGAAGGATCGGTAGAGATATGAAAATAGGAAATCTCATATAATTCAACTTCACACGAGCTTAATAAAAATAACTTCCAATACTCGAAAGCAAGACAAAAATGGAGACGGAAATGGTGGAGAAGTTAGAAATTACCTTCGATTTATGGGCGATTGTGAGATGCAATGGAAAAAAATGATTCTTTGTTGGGCTGATGAAGGCATCTGCCGAAGATGTCGACTCTGTGACGCATTTGTATAGATTAGCTGTAAAACACTAGAAAGGCTGCTTTAAAGACAGCAAAATAGAGGGAGGTGATGAGGCGCGTCTGTACCCGCGTCTAGCTTTTCTGTACCTTGATCAGAGAGATAGAGAGTACATCATCGACTAATCATAGTTTAATACCTGTACAACAAGTTGGGTCGGGTCGGGTCACTATGGGTGCACAAACGGGTCCTGGGCAGGCCCACTAATGCATTGACTGATGTGATGATTAAAAAATGAAGTAAATTGTACTTCAAATCTTAGAAGTAAACCTTGAGCCACATAAACATTTAATGCATTGTACAATCTTGGCATAACAATATTAATTTAGACATTGTACTTGATAGTTCTGAACAATAAATGGAGCCACACAAATATTCTTGAGCCTCACAACAATAAATGCAATGTACTACATAATCTCAATGTAGAAATTGAGTGGGCCGCCCAAATGCAGTGCACTGTTGGGTCGGGTCGAGTCACTATGGGTGCACAAACGGGTCCTGGGCAGGCCCACTGATGCATTGAGTGATGTGATGATTAAAAAATGAAGTAAATTGTACTTCAAATCTTAGAAGTAAAGCTTGAGCCACACAAACATTTAATGCATTGTACAATCTTGGCATAACAATATTAATTTAGACATTGTACTTGATAGTTCTGAACAATAAATGGAGCCACACAAACATTCTTGAGCCTCACAACAATAAATGCAATGTACTACATAATCTCAATGTAGAAATTGAGTGGGTATTGGTACTTGATAGTTCTGAATTGGAGTCACCCAAACATTTCTTGAGCCTCACAAACAATAAATGCAATGTACTACATAATCTCAATGTAAAGATTGAGTGGGTATTTTTAACCCTTGGTTAACCCAATTGATTCACCTTATAATTAATGCATTGTACTACAAATCTTAATATTGAGATTGTGTGGTATTTTCAACCTAGGTTATTCTCTCCTTTATCCAATATAAATACCCAAGCAGGGGATGACCACAACATACCACAAACCAGTATTCAGCAGCTGTATTTTTAAGTTCAAAAGTTCAAAATCAGTGCAATGGCAACCGCTTCATCAGCACAAGGGATGTGGTCCTTACTCAAGGATATCGATCACACAAAGACGACCCGGGCAATCAAGGTTCGGGTAGTTAGGGCATGCGAAGTTCCTCCACACTCTAAGGGCGGGGAGACTCTTGAAATGGTTTTGCATGACGCAGAGGTATGGTTTGTAACATCTAACTTCTATGGCGTCTTTTGCTCAACATTTCTTAATCCAATGTAAATTCTTACTAGGGAGACCGGATTCACGCCATTATCAAGAGGCCGCAGATAGCAATGTATAAGCCTAATATTACAGAGAACAAAATTTATGCCATAAGAAACTTTTTGGTGCTTGACAATTACCAAACAGTGAAGACTACCAGTCATCCCTACATAATTCAGTTCATCTCAAAAACCCTGTTGAGGGAAGATACGAAGACGGAAATGCCTATGATGGTCTATGATTTTCAGCCTTTTGATATGCTGCATGCCCAAAGAGTTATCAACGACAAAACTCTAATTGGTGAGTTAGAGTCAAATTTTTCCATACTACATTGCTTGCACAAATATCCTAATTACAGTTTCTATCGTTTAATTATGAAGATGTCATTGGGAAGGTTCTTTCCAAGAGCCTTATCCAGACCCACATAATCAATGGGAGGACTGATAGGCTAATGGAGTTGACTTTGACAGACCCGGAGTAAGTTTTACAACTATCTGGATTTTAGCAAAACAAAAGACACATGCTCATTGAATGAAACTTTTCTAAACTACAGGGGTAACAGATTGGGCGCCGTATTGTGGAACAAGTACATAAACACGTATCTGGATTATGTTAATGCTAATGAAGGAGTGCCTGTCTTCGTGATATTTCAACTATGTAGGCCAAAAAGATACCAAGGTTTGAGAAACTTAGCAGCACTCATTATGTAGTACACAGTAGCCAAAGCTTATGGTAGTGCTGTTTTAAACACAGGGATCTTGACAGTGAATTCGTCTTTTGATGTATCAAAGCTCATAATCAACGGGAACACTACTGAGTTTTTAGAGTTCCAAAGCGAGTATGCGTATTAAATCTCCTAAAACTAAACTCTGACTTCCCAATTTCATAAAAAATCTCCTCAAACTCAAGTATCCTAGAACTTAAGTCTGTTTACCATGCAATATACAGGTTTCCAGCAGATGGTGATGACACCACGACTCAAACCTGCAACACGCAATGCTCACATGCGGAAGGGAGGGATGATATACTCGGTGGAAATGCTGTCATTACCACCATGGAGGATTTGATGAAGGCAACTGAGGTGTGTCCTGAAGCTAGAGTCATAGATTTCGCATTTTGAATAAATATATCCACTGCTAATAAGAAAATTATACTTGGATAGGAGAATGTTTATTGGGTACTTGCTGAGATAGTTTATATAGAAAACTATCGAGAATGGTGCTACCTAAGTTGCCCAACATGCCACAAAAAATTGCAACCAGAAGAGGAACGGTTTAGGTGTACAACTTGCAGCATGTCAATGGCAGAAGGAGTTTATCGGTTCATTACTTAACCTAATGTGCTTTTATGGGTGTAGGATGTTCACGTTTTTATTTTAGTAATAAAAATTGTTACTCTGATGATTCAGCTACAAGGTCAGTGTGTGTATTATGGACAACACAGGGTATGGAAACTTCATGTTATGGGACAGGGAATGCATACAAATTCTGGGTAAAACTTCAGCAAGTCTTAAAGCCGAGGTGGAGAAGGTAACACAATAACCCGTTAGCAGTGTTTACTTTATCAGACCTTCAATCAATTATGGATGGGCTAACCACATAACTTGGAAAACACAGAAAACCGGGGATCCAAGTCACTTTCCGGAAGACATTGAAAGCTTGGTTGATATAAAGGGAATTTTCAAAATACAGCTCAGGAAGAAGAAAGGTGAGGAAAATGCCTATAATGATGGGATTTCTATAGGGGTAGTCAGCATCATAAGAGATCCTAATGTTATCTCAATGTATGAGAAGAAAGAGCACTTGGAAACTAATGAAATTGATGAGAGTACACCATAAAAGGTATTTAGAAAAATTATTAATTTGTGTATTTGGGCCTTGAATAAATAAAGATGACAACTAACTTAAAATCATTTTTTTGCAGATTGGTTCAAATGCAAATTTAGGAGAAACCTCCATCAGAGAAAAATCAACTGTCAGTAAGGGCAAGGGGAAACGAATTTCGGCAGAAAAGGAGGTAAGCGATCGACTGTTAAGAGGTATATAATATTTTCGTTCAAAATTCTGTAGAGGGTTCACTAAACAGCTATATTACTGCTAGGTTTTTGCACCAATTGAGCTTCCCGACACACCTACGGAATGTACCCAAAGGGAGGTCAATGTTGAATTAAATGAAGAGGTCAAAAGAAACTTGAATGATGAATTTTCAAGCACTGGGAATGGCAAGAAGCTGAAGATCAAAATCAAACAGGAACCGCTCTAAAGCGGGTTCAGTTCATGAATAACATTGATGATATTTTGTTGGCACCTACTATTGTGTTTATTGTTATTTGAAAACAGTTTCATGCACAGGACGTATGCCTTCTCTTTTTGGGATAACTGAAAACTGTGTAAAAGACCATTAAACCCTACTTTATGACTATTGTGTGGTGTGCTATTATGTTTTGACTATGTTTAGGATGTTTTGTATCTATATTGGGCAGTTTGCAGGATTTCAGAGAAGGGAGATTCCTAAACCATTTAGGGAAGTTTATGCTCCTAATATCTTTGTATTTTATAAACAGACCTTTGTTTTCACACTAACGCTTTACTAATGGTTTCCAGGATGATGAAAAAGTTTTGGGTTAAGAAAAATGCTACCAATGGTGTGAAGAATGGCTTAACTGCTAGACGAGAGCATGGGATGGTGTGAATAAACGATTGAGTGGTGTGCTATTATGTTTTAACTATGTTTAGGATGTTTTGTATCTATATTGGGCAGTTTTGCAGGATTTCAGAGAAGGGATATTCCTAAACCATTTGGTGAAGTTCATGCTCCTAATATCTTTGTATTTTATAAACAGACCTTTGTTTTCAAACTAAGGCTTTACTAATGGTTTCCAGGATGATGAAAAAGTTTTGGGTTAAGAAAAATGCTACCAATGGTGTGAAGAATGGCTTAATTGCTAGACGAGAGCATGGGATGGTGTGAATAATGGCTTAACTGCTAGACGAGGCATGGGATGGTGTGAATAATGGCTTAACTGCTAGATTTACTATGAAACATGTAAATGTGTAAACTCTAAGAGGCATTACGTAAACAAGTAAATGTGTACTCTTATGATTTCAAAAGTGTCACATTTGGATTGGAAATGCTAATACAAGTGTATTACATTTAAAAATCTATGCAATATTCTTTGGTTGCAATTTGACAATTGGCAATTTGATTCAACAACTTGCATAATTTTAAATAACCAAGTGAGGTAAAGAAGTTCATACCTTAGTCTTTTGCAGAATGGAGGGTTACCTGCAATCCCTATTTACTAAATAATATTACAAACCTTTTAAATTTTACATAAATGGCAACCTTCTAAGGTCCCAGAACTATTCCTATTACAATTTTCTAGATAGCGTTTTTAAACCTGTTCAACCAGAAAATTACACCTGTCAAAACGTATTAAAAGAGTTATTATTACTATGAACACACTCTTGGATAAAAGTACAAATAAGTTTTAAAAAATGTCTGTTAGAAAGTAAAATTTTGGAATATTTTAGTACATAAAGTTGCAATATCAAACATGAAGTAAATTTTAGGTATTAAAGCTTATTCGAAATTGTTATTCAAAAATAAAAACTTGGTTAGCCATTGCTAAGAGTTATTATTATAAATCAATACATTTGGGAGTTGTGGTATCTTTGACAAAATTGGAAAATAGAAATCTGAAATTAAGTCCATTTTTTGGGAATAAAAATGTGGTAATAATATCTGCCCAAAATGTCATTGAAGTGTTTGTATTTTGAAATTCTTCAAAAATAGAACCATGTCTAAGTAAATATATTTAGTATGGAATGATGTCAAGTG